GGCCGACCGGCATTGCCCAAAGGGCGCTCCTCGCGAGGCTGCTCCCTCTAGGCGCCCTCACGAGGTTGGCCCTGCCAACGGTCCTCCCGAGAATGGACGCGCCACTCCTGGCGATGGTCGTGTCCATCCCAGCGTCCTCCTTCTCGGCCACCTCCGCGGCCGTATGCGCTCGGAGCGTCGACCAAGACGCCCGTCGCGGAGGGCCTTGAGCTCCTGGCAGTCGTTGGTGTTGTGGTTGTGGACGTTGTGGAAGACGCAAAACGGTCGGTTGCTCTTGGACGACTTGGGGTGGTCGCAGCCCCGCTTCATCTCTGGCTTGGCCGCGAGCACGGCCGGCCCCTTGCGCTTCATGTCCTTGGCCTTAGCGTTCTTGTCTTCTGGGTCAGTATCAGGGAGCTCGAGGAGGGAGAGGCGCCCCTCCTCAGCTCTTGCACACTTGTTCGCCATGTTGAACATCTCCAGGGCTGTGCAGAGGTTCTCATGGATGTCGAGCTCCTCCTTCATCTTGACATCATGGACGCCATCAGTGAAAGCTGAGATGATGGCCTCGTCCGACACCTTGGGGATCTTGAGTCGAACGTTGTTGAAGCGCTGGATATCCTTCTGTAGGGTCTCTCCTGGCTGCTGCTTGATGCGACGCAGGTCACCCGTGGCCGGCGGACGATTGCGAGTGCCCTGGAAGTTGGCGATGAAGCGGTCACGCATATCCTCCCAGGAAGAGACCGATCCCTCGGGGAGGTTCAGGAGCCAAGAACGCGCGCCATCCTTGAGGGCCATAGGGAACCGGTTCGCCATGATCTTCTCGTCGCTGCTGGCCGCCTTGATGCTCAGCTCGTAGAGCTGCAGGAACTCGGCGGGGTCGGCGGTGCCATCGTAGTGTGGGGGCAGGTCAGGCTTGAACTTGCTTGGCCAGATGACGTTGCGGAGCTCCGGGGTGAACGCGCGACATCCTGCGGTGGCCATTGGAGCCCGTCGAGGAGGTAGAACTTGGTCCTAGTGCATGCGCGCCACCACCTCTTGCAACGGCACACGGGCCTGATGCGGGGGTGCAGGGACCACGCGCACCTCCCCTTGAGGTCGCTGCACCACTTGGCAGCTCACCTCCCCGCGAGCAGGCGCCGGGCGCGGCGGGTCGCACCGTGGCGCCACATGCCTTGGCTTGATGATGACGCCCTGAGCCGGAGGTGGTGGAAGAGCCCCGTGAGCCACATTACCCGCGACAGGTGGCTGCTGGGGCAGCGAGTGGCCCGGTGCAGTGGAGCCCCCAGCCGTGCTGACGAGCTCAGCGATCCGCTCGAGCCATTCCTCGTAGAAGTCGTTGACCGGGCGATAGCGAAGGAGCTCCTGCGCCATGAGCAGAGCGGCCTGTGCGTTCGCTGGGCCATGACGCGCATGGGAGGATGAAGCTGCTGGGGTGAGTGACAGAGTGGCGGTGCGCCCGTCGCAACGCACCGAAGGGTGCAGCGAAGAAGCTTGCTGCTCGTGGCCGGCAGGTCCCGTGGCGGCGTTGGCCACCAGAGACGGAACACGTCGAGCACAACCGTCGCCCGTCGGGGCTGTCTGAGCAACGCGAGCGGCGACCGCGGCCCAGCGCTCGGCGCGAGCCTAGCGTGCATCGTCCATGGAGTTGTCGGAGTGACAGTGGATCGATCGACGGAAGAGAAAATCCGACGCACCCCTAGCTGGCGTGCCAAATGTCGGATTACGGGTTCCGCAAACCCTTGAGAGGTCCGAACTCTGGGGTGCGTGCGGAAATCTCAACCTGTCCAACCTGCCTACTCGCGATTTTCCTAAGCCTAGCGCGACGAGCTCGAAGAGACAGAGACACATCAGTTTATCCTGGTTCGGGCCACCTTGCGGTGTAATACCCTACTCCAGCATTTTGGTGGATTGCCTCGAAGGGCTGAAGATGAACTAGTACAGTGGATAAACTGGCCTCAGGAGGTGAGGTGTTCTTGAGCTCAAGAGAGCTGGTGAGGTGGTGGGTGAGAATGGATCCGATTGGAATCAAATCAGTTGCCTCCTATGGTGGTGGCTAGTCCTAATTATAGTGGCATTGGTCCTCTTCCTAAATGTAGGCGGGAAGGGATCCCACAACAGCCGGATTTGAAAGGGGACAAGTAGTACAACTTATTCTGACAAAAGTAGTCTTCGCCTGCGAAAAGCCCCCGACCGTGACGCTACGGTGGGCTCGGTGATGACCTACGTCCTGCCGTCATGGCGGTCTTGATCTTGTTACACCAGAATGGAAACCTTTAGCTGATTCCTCGGGACTCCGCGCCTGTGGCATGCCTCCCTTACACATAAGAGGAAACTAGCGCTCTGTGCCCGCTGGCGCCTGCCTGGCACCCGCCTGGCCTTGGTCGTCACGGCTCACGTCAGCTGAGCCTCGTGAGGTGCACCTTGCATAGAACTCTCCGCCCCTCGGGAGCCAGCATGAGAGGCCGATCCCCTCGGGGGTCTTGGCGTCGTCCGCCTCGCGAGGTCTTGAGCTATTGATGTAGAAGCTGTGTCGTACTAGGTCGTCGATGAAGCCACGTGATGGGCCGCAGGCAGGCAAGTCTGGATACCCTCATATCCAGAACGCCGACATATTTTGTCGTGAAAATTTACACACATGTGTGTTATGCCTTCATGTATATCTGTGTTTTTTTAAGATTTTTTTGAAACATAGAAAATATGAAATTTGATGAAATTCATTTTTTTTCAAAGCTGAGCTCGGCCTTCAAAGACAATATTCGTATGTAAAAGCTGGTACTATAACTTTCATACAGATATAAACGAGACACCAATTGCCATTAAAGAAGAGGTTGTATTACGCGTCTGCAAGTTTCGAGGACCAAAACTTGTACTCCCTTCATTTTAAAATATAGTGTGCCCGCGCTTGCCGAGGTCAAATTTTGACAATAAATTTAACCAATAACACCAACTACAGCGGAAGAAAAAAATTATATAATTAAAATTTTCTTTTAAAAATACGAATTCATTAGCATAACTTTTGCTTCTATCACGGCCGGTCTCGTTGGTTAAATTTATAGTCAAAATTAACGAAGAAAAATAGAGAAATCACTATAATTTGGAACGGACGGAGCAATTTTCTCTGTCGCCTCGGTGGTGCTACTGTATCTGAGGCTCTGAGCCCACCAGGCGCTCCGAGCCAGGCAAGCAAGCACGGTGGTTAATCAAAGAGGTAAATACACCGATGGTTCTTCAACTTGTCACGGATGTTCACTTTGATGCCTAAAGTTGAAAAATACATCGAACTAGTACCATAACTTGGCATGAACGTGCAAATACGGTCCAAATCTCATATTAGTACGTCTAAGGCGTTCCAGCATGGCATAAGGCCTGTTGTCAGCGACTAGATGGACAGCAGGAAAGAGGGTGTGCGGCCATGTTTTTTTGGAAAACCCATTAAATTATTTTTCTTACAGATAGACCCTCGGAGAGAAACAACAGACATTTGTAAAATAAAAATGAAAAATGGTCTGGCAAGGATTCGATCCAAGGACCTGCTGTTTGCGTGCAGGTGTGGCTAGCAAGTCAACGCTTGAAACTTGCTCTTTTGTATACGCTAGGCAGAACAACATAAATTAAAGGAATTTAGTCTAGCAAATAATAGTGTCAGGTCAGTGATTCAAACATTCGAGCAAAGTTTATATAGCAGCCTCGGATACCACTCCAACCAAAAAGGACTTATACTAAAGTATAATTTGTATTTATGACAGTATAACAAACATAATTTAAAAAATTGCATGTCAATTTTAAAAATAATTCATGTGTTATTTTAAAACATATTCATACAATTTAAATTATTTATGAATTAAAAAATGTTTGTGTGATTCATATATTATTCATGTGAGGATACGCAATCTGAGGGCACACTATGTATTTTTTTAAGCAAACAAATTTGTATGTACTACATAAACCATTTATAACAACGCAAAAAAATTCTCAAAGCATGAACTCTTTTATGTACTACATGATTTTTTTATTGAAAACATGATTTTTAAAACTTATATGAGAATTTATTTTAAGTATACAAAACTTTCTAAAATTATTGCATAGATATTTTATGAAAGCATATGAACTTTTTAGATGTATTTTATTTTAATTATATGCTACTTTATAACACAGGATTATGATTTACATCTTTTGTACAAATTTTTAAGGTGGAGAAAAGTAACACATTCAAAATGGGCTGCACTGCAGTTCGTTTTACCCACTCGAGTGCATTATGTTATAAGGAGATTTTATCTTTTTTAACATTACCTGCCTGTTTCAAAAAAAAAAAAACTGCCGTTGGTTGGAGTGGATAGAAAGAATAATGTGTATATGTGCATGACTGCAAAAGTGATTGAGTCTACTGGCCAGCCATCCTGACATGCGAACGGCACGGTGCTGGTTCAGAACCCCATCGGACCAGTTTTTTTCCCGAAGGCTTTTTGTAAGCAAAAATAATTTCAGAAGTATTTCGCAAAAATTCAGGCCACACGCCATCCTTCCTGTCGTCCGGTGTCTCACAATGGGCCCATGCCACACGGGCGTGCCCTTCCTGTCGTCCGGTGTCTGACAATGGGCCCATGCCACACGGGCGTGCCTTGTCAGTGTGGTGGACGTATATAATTGAGATTTGAACCGTATTTGTATGTTCATGCCAAGTTATGAAACCAGTTCAATATATTTTTCAAGTTTAGATACTAAAATAAACATGTGTGGCAAGTTCAAGCACCATCTATGTATGTACCTCTTAGTCAAATGAGCCCAAAGTTAGACCAGCCCACGATGCAGCCGACCCCCAAACCTGACACTTGTCACGACTCAGGAACACGACGGCAGCACCGGCCACCACCACCGCGGCTCGGCTCGCTGCCCCACCTTCCTCTTTCTTCCCGCCCCCGCCTCCCTCCCACCGCGGCGTGATTCCAGCGCCGACCACCTACACTACACAAAACCCTAGCCAGTCCCTTCCCCTCCCCTCCAGCCCGTCCCCACCTCGCATGCTCGCACCCCTCTTCTCCCGAAACCCCAGCCTCCTCTTCCTCCCCGCAGTCGTCCGCATCGCCCGCGGAGCAATGTCGGCCTCGCCGGCCGCCAAGGCGACCGTCTCCATCGAGTACGCCAAGTCCGGCCGCTCCTCCTGCAAGGGCTGCAGCGCCACCATCGCCAAGGGCGCGCTCCGCCTCGGCGCCTCCGCGCGCGACCCTCGGGGCTACGACAGCACCAAGTGGTACCACGTCGCCTGCTTCCCCGTCTCCTCGCACCCGCTTGGCCCCGTCGAGGAGGTCGAGGGGTTCGACTCCATTAAGGTTTGGGTTGTTTATTTTGTCCCATTCGGTTTTCGATCTGTTCTGTTTTGTGCTTGGAGGCTAAACTCCCGGTATCTGGGGGTTGTGCAGGATGACGATCGCGAGGAGCTGCGAGAGATTGAGAAGGTAGCACATTCCTCACCTGTTGAAAATGCCTGTTCTGTTAGTTGTCTTCCATCCACTCCTGCGCTGAATATTTCTGCCTATTGGATGGCAATTTTGAGTAATGTAGAATTATGTTGCTAAATCATAAGGTGGAACGTTTGGGTAGCTTTCTATATAATCGATTTTTTTATGAGCAAAGGAATAAGAGATTTGATGTGTTCCCCCATTGAATATAGTTTTGCTTCATAAAAATATGAACCATTCCATGAACTCGAGAAATCTACTATTTTCAGAATAATAAGAGCGACCAGACTGCTGTCAGTCCATTGGAAGTACCAAGTCCGAAGAAAGCAAAGGTTTCGCCTAAAGCAGAGGTGGCAGAAAAAGGAAGTGTGTCTGTTGAATACGCCAAGTCCGCCCGTTCCACCTGCAAGGCCTGCAATGCAAGCATCGCCAAGGGCGCTCTTCGCATTGGCGTCTCAGCCCATGACCCCCGTGGCTTTGACAGCACCAAGTGGTACCATGTCGCCTGCTTCCCCGCCTCCTCGCACCTGCTTGGCCCCGTCGAGGAGGTCCAGGGGTTCGACTCCATTAAGGTTTGGGTGTTTTTTTTGTTCCATTCCGTTTTCGATCTGTTCTGTTTTGTGCTTGGAGGCTAAACTCAAGGTATTTTTGGGGGTTGTGCAGGATGACGATCGCGAGGAGCTGCGAGAGCTCGAGAAGGTAGCACATTCCTCACCTGTTGAAAATGCCTGTTCTGTTAGTGGTCTTCCCGCCACTCCTGCGCCGAATATTTCTGCCTATTGGATGTCAATTTTGAGTAATGTAAAATTATGTTGCTAAGGCCTCCTTCGGTTCATAGGAATATTGTAGGAGTTGCAAAGGATAGGAACTTTGTAGAAAAATTCCTGTGGAGCCCTTTGGTTTGTTGGAATGGATTCCTATTCCTACGTAGGATAGGTATCAATCCTTCACATTTCAAAGGAAAAAAAAACATTGGACTAGACTCTATGGAAAAATTCCTATCCCATGCATCAAATGACATCTCTTTCTCTATGGGATTTGAGATGCATGTCATCTCACTTCCTATGATTTTCCTATTCCTATACTATTCCTATCCTATGAACCAAAGGAGGCCTAAATCATAAGGTGGAAGGTTGGGGGTACCTTTCTATATAATCGATGTTTTTATGAGCAAAGGAATAAGAGATTTGACTTGTGCCTCCACAGAATGTAGTTTTGCTTGATAAAAATATGAACTGTTCCATGAACTTGAGAAATCTACTCTTTTCAGAATAATAAGAGAGACCAGACTGCAGTCAGTCCATTGGAAGTACCAAGTCCGAAGAAAGCAAAGGTTTTGCCTAAAGCAGAGGTGGCAGAAAAAGGAAGTGTCTCTGTTGAATACGCCAAGTCCGCCCGTTCCACGTGCAAGACCTGCAATGCAAGCATCACCAAGGGCGCTCTTCGCATTGGCGTCTCAGCCCATGACCCCCGTGGCTTCGACAGCACCAAGTGGTACCATGTCGCCTGCTTTCCCACCTCGTCGCATCCGCTAGGCCCTGTTGAGAAGCTCAAGGGGTTCGAATCCATTAAGGTTTGTGCTCTGGGAGGCTTCATTTCATTGTTATTTAGTTCTGTTTTTGTATTTTTCGTTGGTGGCTAAACTGTTACTTTTGGCCTCCAGGATGACGATCGTGAGGAGTTACGGGAGCTAGAGAAGGTAACACATTCCCCACTTGCTGAAATGCCTACGCTGCTGTATGATGAATATTTCTGAGTACTAAATACTACCATATTTTGCAATAGTTTTGTAGAAGTATGTGCATGTCCATAAAATTTACCCATTTTCAGAATAAAAAGGGAGACCAGGCTGCAGTCGGTCCAGTGGAACTATCAAGTCCGAACAAAGGAAATTCCCATATATCTTTACCTGAAGTGGAGATGGCTGAAAAGGCAAGTGTATTTTATGACGCCCAATATTTACTGTGGATTGTTTTGTGGGCTTTTATTCTAATGAAGTTTGGATGTCAATTGTTTGAAATTTGTGGATTTGATGGGATGTGAACAGGAGATAACAGTTGGCCACTCATAGATCTAGTTTAAACAAAGTGGTATTGTTACTACATGATATTTCTGCACATTAGTAATTGGCGCACTTTTGATCCTTGTTTGTCTCTGTGACATGTCATGTCTTACATAACAGTTTGTTTAGTTTGGAATGCTTAGTTTGATTCACCATGTGTAAAGGTAAAGTGACTTGCCTACTTTCAAATCCCTCTCCTTTTGCATCATAGTATTTAGAGGCATCAGTCATTTGACGTTTATAGTTCTAAGTTTCACCTGAAGCTTCCTTACTAAGGTTGGATAAGCTCCATGAATAAGCCAGAGATAGTATCAGATGTTAGCCTATTATAACTTGCACTTTGCCACATTCTATGTTCTTTACCAAGGTGGTGAATGCTGATCCTTCTATTTTGAGAGTCCATCCTAAGAAATGACTAGTACACATCTTTGTATCTTACACGTTTTCTAAAAAAATCCTACTACACTAAATCAATTAAATAACCAAGGCTGTGAAGTGGGGTAATGTTGAGCGAAATAACCTACGACAATTGAGCCACTTTTTTTGAGCGAAAAAGGTTTATACTGTAGCCACCTCCTTCCTCTTTGTTTTCTTAACTTCACCTTGGAGCTCAGCTGCATGGTTATTTATTTAATTTATAATGCTGGTTCTGTTTTCCATAACAGTCGTCTCCAGGGAACAAAACAGTTGGTACAGCGATACCCTTTTCGCCTTCTGATATCAAGAAAACATACAAGGTAGTCTTGTAATTCCTAGCTAGTCTTACTCAGGTGTTTCTCTCTCTTTGGCTGTTGATAAACATTTTATTGTACTGAGTTACTACATCACACCTTGTTGTCTGTTGATGCAGGATGCTACCCTTCCCACTCATTGGAAGGCTTTTGATACCGTTATTTTCCGTGAGCAGGTGTGTTGAGGAAAAAAAAAGTAACAGCTGTCAAGAATTATTTTATCCTTAAATAGTCTATATCACTCTACTACTTTTGGTTTCATACCGTCTTGTAAAATTGTCAGATAGTAACTTTGTGCAATTCTAATGTTCAGGATGATGGCCTTCATGCTTCAGCTAAGATTGCTGCGTTTGATTTCGACGGGTGCCTCGCCAAAACCTCAGTGAAGATGTATTATATTATATAATTTCCCTTCTTAAAATATGTTATGTTTGATAAGAGTGTTCTACATGCTTGTTCTGTGAATGTGGTATCAAATATTCATCGTTTTATAATGAAGACACATTTTAATTGATTTGCTACAGAAAAGATTTGTGTTACAGTTCAGTTCTATGGGCAATGTTTGTCTGGTTGGGCAATCTCATATAATGTCATCTATCTGTAAGTTATGGACTAATGTGTCCTACATCTTGTCATAACTGGAAGTGCAGAATGATATGTCTGTTAAAATCCAAAATGCTTCTTATTTAAATGTGAAAAATTGATTAAAAAAAGTTTAGTCCATGCATGCATGACGTGGGCTCTCTACATAGGGCGCTCATTACCACACGTTCCTGAAGAACATGTATAGTATGACACACTAATCTTAAAGAATCTTAAACTGTAGGAAATCACAACTTTTCATCATTCATCATCGCCCCTGTCTTGGTGTAGCGGTTTCCTTTTTTACAACCGTCCATTTCAAGTAACCTTCTCTTGAGAAAAATATTTGGTACCTAGATCTACTAGCGGTCGAGTTGTGAAAAAAAAATGCTTACCTGATGGTCTTGAGTATAACCGTTAGGTGCTGGCTTGTGCGATGTGATCTCCGGAGACTGACTTTTTATAAATGGAGTTTCTGATTTGAATGCTTCTCTTATATGAGCTGTTACACTAGGGAGACAGTTGATAACTTTTGACCTACTGCAAATGTAGCATTGGTGCAGACAAGTGGTCTTTACAGCATAAATCAATTCCTGACAAGCTGCAAAGCCTGTACAATGATGGCTACAAGTTGGTTAGTTTCTTTCTTATTTTGATTCCATCACTTTTCTTCTGTATCTGTGTACTCCATTTCAAGATAAGTATACACATGGCATGTTAATACAAAATCATGCTGTATGGTGTTGGCAGGTCATATTCACCAATGAGTCAAACATTGAGCGCTGGAAGAATAAGCGGCAGCAAGCTGTTGACTCAAAAGTTGGACGCCTTGACAACTTTATTGAGTGTGTTAAAGTCCCTATTCAGGTATTCTGCTAACCTATCTTCTTTTCTCTAATATTTGTATTAAAATGTGTCTCTTATGTTTCTGATCGATCCTTTGACATATTAAATAATAATAATAAGAGCTGTAGCTTATTGTGCTTGTGTTTTCCTGCAGGTTTTCATTGCGTGTGGTACTGGGAAAGGAAAAGGCACACCGGATGATCTGTTTCGCAAACCAAATTCAGGAATGTGGTGGTTGATGGCAGAGCATTTCAATTCTGGAATTGCCATCGACATGGACCAGTAATCATTCTATTTCCGATTTTTTTTTCCAGAGTCACCATTTTGAATTGATTTATTTCATAGGGTGTAAGCTTAAACATTTAATTTTGAATGTAATTTTGTTATCTCTGTTCATATGTGGTTGTTGGACAAGCAGCTGACATGCACACGGTTCATTTTCTTTGTTTGTTTCTGTGAGTTGCATGTGTCGCTTAGCCATGGTTTCATTCAGGACAATTGCTTCTTGGAGCCATGCCCCTGTTGCTAACTTGCTTATATATCAACCACACTCACAAGACTGTCCTTGTGATCTACATGAAAGTACTGTTGTAGTACGAGTAAGATTCACCACATACCTATTTTTAGGGCTTTAGGCTGAGTGATCAGCACATGAAGCTCCATTATAGCACCCGAGGTTCTGAGCTTGCTGCTAAATCCACACAAAGAATAGGGCCTCCACAGCTTAAACATGAGTTATGCTGTTATGCAAACTAGTATTGCCCACCTTGTTCTTATAGTGCAAGTCTCTGAGTCTGTTCAGTATGTTGCTGCAAGAATTCATGCCACACCTTTTTCTCCTTAGGATTTGGTCATGCTACATGCTCTCCTTCTGAAATTTCCCGTGCCTTTTCAGATCTTTCTATGTTGGTGATGCTGCTGGGAGAGAGAATGATCATAGTGACGCAGATATAGAATTCGCTAAGGTATGGTGAAAAAACCTCTACCCTTGAGCTACAATGCACTACCATTTCTTCAGTTGAGTTCAAACGTTCAGCAACTTGAAATGCCCCTCACACTTTTACTTGTCATTTATAGAAATGCCAACGAACTGGGTTTAGAAGCATTTAGAAACTGAGACCTGATCACACCATACATCAGCATTTAAACTTGTAACTATCTATTTGAAAGTTATTCTTTTAGCTATGCAATCAATTAAGGA